TGCTTAATAAAGCCCAGACACGGTCAAACTGCTGTGTAGGCTTTGTGCCAGCAAATCAGGATGAATGTTCAATAAACAGATCCAGGGGAGCCCAAAGATAAGAAGAAACCACCGTTTAGATCATTTAAACTTGCAGAACAAAACTGAAAGCTGCCATTGACTTTAGCTCAATAGGATCCCCCCCCCCCCACAGCTGTGGCTCCGCAATGGTGAAGATGAAGCAATTCTGCATCTGGTCATGGCATTTTCTTCTTCATTTTAACACCACACATTCCAGAGTAGATTAGCGGCACCGAAACTATGTTCTCACTTGCCATTAGATGTGCTTTAAAGTGTGGGCAAATAGCAAGCAATGAGTGTTCAGGATAAGTTTTCAGTGCTTTGTACAGCTCTGCACTACATATGACTTCACAGATGCCAGGAAAGTTCTGATGGAAATAAATGCATCAAATCTTGGAGAGAAAAGAGCCTTGGTCCATATACAAGTACATATAAATAATAATAAATTTCAGATATATCTAAAAAAAATCTGTAATTATTTCAGGAATTAAATACTGCTGTTTCAAGTCTTCTATTTTTACTACCTATATTAATTACAATTCTTTATCCAAATATATTATATTAAACTTTACGATTGCAATACTAAGTTTATTTATGCCAACATTTTATACAGTGCTAATACTGTAGTATTGATATGGCATCCATAATTAATCTATATCCTACTATCTTAACATTTTTTTGGGGGGGGGGGAATACCTCAATTCAATTTTTTCTTTTGGCAGTCTCACCAAATATATCTAAATTTGGTGTTCTCTTGCCCATTTTGGCTGAGCAAGAGAGGTGAGCAGAGCCTTTCTGATTATTTTTACTTTTAGTTAAGCATTTTTATTTATTTACTTGATTACGGGGGCGGACAGCTGCCCCCTCCCCCCGGCCATGCCCAGGAGCCCAACCCTACACTTAATTGCACAGATGAAAGTCCAGCTGTCGTCAGCAGGCTACAAGCTCTGACAGTGTGAAGACTAATGTATTTATCGTGACAAGCTTTTATGAACTCTGTCCAGAACTCTTGATGAACCTATGACTATTTCTTGCATTCACTTGGCCTTTAGGCCCTACTATGTAAAAAATTGTTTCTTACCCCCCCCCTATCTGCCCCCTCAGTCTGCCCCCATCTTCCTAGATCATGTCATGCTTTTTACCAATGGTTGGTGGGTGTAGGCACACTGTTCCCTTTCATTTCTACTGCAACATACTACTCAGGATACTCTTTAGGAATCACATTTCTGTCTACCCTATTTGAACTCACAACACAAAAAACCCACTACCGTTTTGGTTCCAGTCTTTTCTAACTGCAGACACAGGTTTTGAAAAGACTGCCTTTTGTTTTCCTTCAGAGAATAGTAAAAGTGTGTGATGTTTTTCCTTGCTGGAAGCATTTGAGGAAGAGACAACTCTTGTGAACAATTTAAAAGCTGCAACAGTTCAACTGAACTGCAATATTTAACCCATTTTATTCTCTGCCTATCACCAACATTAAAGGCAAAGCTTTGATTCCACATTTTATGATTCCATTTGTTATTGTCTTAAGCCTGATTGCAGCCTGTGTGTTTCCAGCAGATTATCTCTGGTAATCACTTTCTTTTCTGCAATGGAAATGATCTGAAAATTGCTCTTTGATAACCAGGGATGGGTTCATTGAGGCCACGATGCACAAAAGCAAGAATTGTGCAATAATCATTTGTAAAGAGAAACCGTTATCAAAGGAACTGCGGGGGACACCTCCAGGACTTCTCGGGCGAGTTGTTGAAATTTGAAACATATATTTCTCACACAGGAATTTCGCTGTAAACTCTTCTGAATAATGCATGAGACTTGATTTAACGTCACAGTTAATCCTGGCATTTGCCGCCGGAAAATAGTACTCTTAGGGTACATCAGATTGGGGGTAGGGGAGACGGAAGCAGCGCAGAACTAAAATCGGTTAAGACAGTTGTGGCGGAATTCCAAGCAGCTTGATAGGAAGATGCTTTTTGTTGGTAAGAACCTTCCTTAATGAAGCACAATCACCAGCTGCTCACATGACAGGCAGGAGAAAGGGCAGTGCCCGCTCAAGTCTGGCTTTGCCGCTGACTGCACCAACTCAGGAAGGTTCTGCTGTCTCCCTGACTAGAGACTGTGTATAAAAAACACAACTGTCACATTCACATATTTTTAACAAAAAAATTCCTTCCAGTAGCACCTTAAAGACCAACTAAGTTAGTTCTTGGTATGAGTTTTCGTGTGCATGCACACTTCTTCAGATACAGATGCATGCACATGAAAGCTCATACCAAGAACTAACTTAGTTGGTCTTTAAGGTGCTACTGGAAGGAATTTTTTTGTTTTGACTATGGCAGACCAACACGGCTACCTATCTGTAACATATTTTTAAGAGTGACTATTGATGCTTTGCATCCACGGAGTACTTTTCAGAGTTCAAAGCACGTGTACCTTCACAACAGTCTTGCAATTGTTTATTGTGCCGCAACACATCCATTGGTGCACCACTTCTGGCCACAATACAGTATGTATTATTTTTTTCATGATGCAGGTTGGGAGCTAAGGGTAGCAGACACAGCCTTGCCTGAGCTCTGCAAAGGCGTTTGTGGTTGAAATGAGACTGCCTATCCACAAACAGGACAGACTTCAGCTCTTGCAAAGAGACTTCCCCTGGTGTATCCTCACTTCCTTGTTAGTCTCCCCCCAACATGCTCTAGTGGGTTGGGGGACCCTCTGGAGCAGATTGGGGGGCATGTTGGAGTGCAAGGGGAAGCAGACATTCCACCGTGTGAGCAGAAATTGGCTCAGGTGTTGTGGGATATCACACATGGAGCTTAAATGCACTAGGGACTTTCTGCTACCCCAGAGTAATGCTGCTGCTTTGATTATGTTGAATTTAATTTATTCACATTTTGATCCTGATCTATTCCTTTGCTGTCTGCTACGTATTAATTCATGAAAGCTTTGTTAGTTAAGCAAACATGAATATTTTTTCATTATAGTCATTCTTAATTTATGAAAGGAATTGCTTTTTTATCTATTCAGAAGAAGTTTAACTGGAATGTTTGCTAGCTAGTTAATGTGGATATACATTTACGGAATGTATCTAATCAGCTGAGTATATTTATGTGTTGTTTTGCTGCATTTACATGTTGATTTGTTTTACTCTTTCCATGAGCTGCTTTGAGCATATTTATGGGAAAGCAGCAAATAAAGACACAAATATAATTAATAGCAAACAGGCACCTGATTCCTGCACTGCTTTGCTGAAATCAGAAGCTCTTGGCCACGCGGAAGACCCTGCAGCAGATGTCTCCTATGCCAGCATTACTCAGGTCTTGAGCAATGAGTGCAAGCCATAGCATGGGCTTTTCACATTACCCAGTAGCATGGGAAAGAACCACATTGCAAATTGCTTTTCCCACCTTACAAACATGAGCAATGGGCCCTAAATTACCCCTAAAGATGTAACATGTGAAGTGGCCCTGTATTTACAGCTGATGCAGTAAAAGGATGAAGTTCATCTTAATCAGAAGTTCTACTTATTCCTGCTCCCACCTCCTACACGGGATCAAATTGGAGCAATTCTCAAAGAACAAATCTGATGTCTTCTTGTAAAAGATTTAGAAATGGTAGGAAAATCCAATACATCACTGTAACTTTGCAAACACAAAACGCAAACCCTCACAAAAGATTAATGCGTGGTCAAAGTATATCAATCAATTTTTTATTGCAGTCCAAAGACTCACCAATACATTCCAGTACATAAAAAGACATAAAACATACTTACTACTTGGACATCAGATAAAACTAAGCTTCTTTCAGACCTTTAACTAGTACAAAGTGCTCTCTGATTCTGTCCGCCTTAGAATGAAACTTGGCAACTGCCAAGGATACACTGGGAAACCTATCCTCTAATAGGTACCTAACATAAAATTGTGCAGGTCTTCCTGGAAGGTTTGCAATTAAAGGAATTACCTTTTGTTGCCGGACCTGCTTGTATAGTCTGCAGGACAGTAGAATATGCTGCACAGATTCTACTTCCTGAATTGTACAGGGGCATAATCTAGCAGAGTAAGGAAATACCTGCAAATCTGCCTTGGAGCATTTTAGAAGGAAACACATTCAGTCTGGCCTTGGTAAAAAGTCTGCGGTAGTTGACCACTGTCAAGTTCTTTAGATATTCAGCTATGTGAAATGTCCCGACATACTGTAAACTCACAGCTCTTGGTGAGCAGGATGAACAGGTCTGCAGATCACCATAGGCAACGGCCCACAGTCTTTGTTTTAGTGATTTAAAGGCTATGTTGAAGCCCAAGTGTTCAAGAAGAGATGGGGAAAGCCCAATTGAGGGAGCTGTTTGGGCGTTGCGCTTGGACCAGAAACTAACATACTCATTCTGAGCTAGATGTTCTAGTAGTCCTGTCCCCAATATGAAAACACTGACTTTAAGCCAGTATCTGAAGGCTGCCCACCAGGCCCAGGTCAGTAGCGGGCATTCCCAAGTTTCCAAGAAAATGACTGAGGTAGGCACATCTGGGGATCTGGAGGACAGCCCTTAAGAATTTAGCCTGGAGATCATCCAACTCAGATGTTAATCCTCCACTCCAGATATTAGAGGTATATAGTAATTCGGCAGCTGTCCTGAATATTTTGATGGCAGGTGGAATATACTGGCCCCTTTTAGTAAAGTGGCCGGTTGACTAACTTGTGCTTTCTGGAGGGCTGCAGATCTATGGGAGATCCATGTCATTATGTGATGGAATGTCAGCCCCAGGTATTGGAAACTTCTAATCTGATTGAGAAGAAGAAGAGTTTGGATTTGATATCCCGCCTTCCACTCCCCTTCAGGAGTCTCAAAGCGCTAACATTCTCCTTTCCCTTCCTCCCCCACAACAAACACTCTGTGAGGTGAGTGGGGCTGAGAGACTTCAAAGAAGTGTGACTGGCCCAAGGTCACCCAGCAGCTGCATGTGGAGGAGCGGAGACGCGAACCCGGTTCCCCAGATTACGAGACTACCACTCTTAACCACTACACCACACTGGCTCATCTAGTGACCATTAGCATTGGGCGTGCTCAATCTAGTGACCATTGGCATTGGGAAAGATTCTTTTCAAAAACCCAAATTTTAGATTTCCCAAAGGTAATTTTTAGGCCATTCTGTACACAATAAGGCATGAACCTCTTTAGTTGATAATTTAGACCTGGTCTGGAACATGAGAGAATGGCTGCGTTGTCAGCATACCATAATAATGGAGTCCTCCTGACCCCAGGTTTGGGCGGGTGGCCAAGTGGCTCCTCTAGTACATCCTCTCGGTCATTTATAAATATGGTAAACAATGAGGGTGCCAGGATACATTTATAATTATCTAGTGGCAGCTAAAATAGCAGTATGTACTTGTTGCTAGGCGCCAGTCAGTAGGCTGTCAGCCATCAGTTTCTGAGCCAGATGATGAGAGATCAACTGAATTTAGATTTAGACCAAATTCATCTTTCTAGAGGAGGACTCATGTGACTCCCCTCTATCAACCCATGCCCATGAACCCTTGGAGGAAGGATTTCACATACAATAAACACTTACCATACAAAAATCCATATATACACAGTTTTTACAGCATTGCATTCATATATGTATAAAGTGTTCTTGAGAAAGCATAGCAAAAAATATTTCTTATTAAGTTTATATAATGTCCTTCATCCAAAGATCACAGGTGGGCTACAGTATAAGTAATTTAAGACTGTATGCAACTTAAATGCTTTAAAAGGCAGACATTACTAAAGGAATGAAATCTAAATCAACTGTTACACCTTGCACCCTCAAAATTACTTTCTAAGATTTTTTTGTACTGATAGCTTTGTAGATGTTACACAGTCATGTGCTTTGAAAAATTTAAGAGAAATTTGATTGGGAGCACAGCTCAGTGGGAAAGTGCCCTGTCTTGTATGTTAGTGGTCCCAGATCCAATCTCTGGCATCAACCAAGGGAACAGAGGTAGCAGATTTGGAAGACACACACACACCTGGCACCTGGAGTTGCCAGTGGGAAAAAGCCTATTTTGTACAAGGCTTCTTCATGTGAAGCAATTCATTTCTGTATGCACTGAAAATAGATTCAATGGAGTCCAACACAGAATAATGAGTGTCCTTCCTAGGGGTGCATCCCAGTACTGTATGCGTTTTCAAGGTAACTGCTCACCAGGTACACTTCGAGAACTGAAGATTGTGGGGTAGAAATCTATCAGTAACCCAATGAAAATATTTATCGGCACCAGAGTACTGAAAGAAGGAGTGCCTTTGGGTGACCAGATTAAATTCAGGCCGAAGACGCAAGCCAGGTTGGAACCAGTCATTTTGTTGAAAATGCTTTCCTGTGACACCTGGAAAGAGGCAACACATGCAGATCATTAAGCACCAAACACACAGAGGACCAAACTGCTAACTATTCAAAACTGGAGGCACAGCTGCCTCCACTTTAAAGATTTCATTCTGCACTCTGCTTCCCTGCCAAGAAGTCTGCCCAGCCTCTGAACTGGCTTACAATAAAATAAGATAAACAATTGACGCAGCATTTGTTTACTAGCAGGCATAGTGGAATTGGTATACATAACTCTGACAGTTATCTGATTCCAACTCTGAACAGCAAAGTAGAGATGGAGTTAGGGGAGTTTGACCGGTTTGCCTGCCCATGAGGGCACTGCAGGGAGACCACAACAATGACAAACAATGGAAGGCGGGGGCACTGAATTTTGGTGTTGCTCGGGATGCTGCTGAAATTTGGAAACCCAAAGCACCACAGCCAGGATACGAACTCCGCAGATTAAGCCAAACCCATTTCCAGCCCTGCCCACCTGCCCAAGGCCAGTCCCAAGAAGGTTGGCTCATGGAGCCCAAAAGGTTCCTTACCCCTAGACTATGGGGATAGAGAGCAGGGTCGGCCTACGTGAGCCAGGTCCATGGGTGTGTACAGCAAGCAGAATCCACATTCACAAGGGAGTAAGTTGCTGAAATGCCAAGGAGCTCTTTGGGTTCTCAAGAGACGAAGAGACATGTGGTGGTATGTAAGACACCAGGGGAAGGCTCCTTCAGAAGCATCAAGCTGCCTCATCCCTTCTCCTCCTTGGGGGCCAGGGATGGAGGCCAGAGCCAGGCCCTCAGCTTTCTCCTATCCCAGGGGTTCTCAAAGTGGGGGTCCACGGACCACGAGTGGCCTGCTAGCTTTATTCCGGTAGTCTGCAGTGGCGATTCCCAGGGATGGGAGTCCCTGGGATAACTCAGTCAGTAGAGCTTAAGATTCTTAATCTCAGGGCCAGGGGCTGAGCAAGAAGATTCCTGCATTGCAGAGGGCTAAACTAGATGACCTTTGTAGTAGCTTCCAACTCTACCATTCTATGCTTCTATGCTGGTTATACTTTTATGTTGTCTGTTAAAAATTTAGTAAATTGTGGTGGTAGTGGATGTTTACTTTTCAGTGTGCCTGCCAATAAAATATATTCATTACAAGCCAGATGTGCTTGCATCGATCTCATTTGTAGCCATGCTCACAGAGGTAAGAATGAGATTTATTAGTAGGCTCTAGGACTTGTGGGATGGGAGCTGTCTTTGGAGCAAGAGACACTCCTAAGTAGGTGAAATCCTTTTCTGAACTGAGACAGTGTCCAATGTTTCCATCATAAATATCAGGAACATTCCGCCCCCCCCCCACCTGAGTCCACTGCAGGGGACTTGCAGCGTTTCATTTCAAACAGCTGTGCAAGAGAAGCTCCCTCTCTCTCAAGCCTTCCCACATGAGCACCTTCACAGCGTCCCTTTTGCCTGCCTCAGACTTCCCCAAGAGCCCTGCTTAAAGCAATAATGCCCCCGGTGCTGGGTGATGGCGTCCATACCCATCCTTTGGCTTGAAATGTCTAACTTTAGTGACCGCCAATGTTGCTGGCCACAAGCTGAACTGCACAAAGCCGCCTGTTGTTTATGTCAACTGGAAATCTTGAGCTGCCCTCCCAGGATGTTCACACTACCTTGACCTTTCCAAATGTAAAGTGTTCCCTCAGACAGCGAAGATGAAAAAACAAGGATCAGCAAAAACTGCAGATCTGAGCACCAAAATCAACTCAAGTCTGCACTTTACATAATAAGGGACACTCAAAAATAATTCTATGTTCTGTTATCCAATTACCAGAGACATCACAGAGTACTTTTGCACACCTCATTAACACCTTGAGCGTTGAGAAGTGTGTTGAAACGGCATGTCTATTACTGGAACAAAAAGTCACTTAGATCCATAATGCTGAGGAGAGATATTTGTAGCTAAAATAATAGCAAATGAGGTGAGGATTTTCATAATAGCTTCTGGAGATTATATTAAGCAATGACAGATGAAGGTATCTGATGCATTCTGTAGTACTGTGTAAGCAGAAATGGCTCTATTATAAGGGAAACTGAGGCAGAATGAAAGAATCACCTTGCTGCGTCACAGGCGCCACTTAGTCTAGTTTTATATACCGTATTTTTCGCTCTATTACACGCACCAGACCATAACACGCATGTAGTTTTTAGAGGAGGAAAACAAGAAAAAAAATTCTAAACGAAACAGTGGATGTATGATTTTTGTGCTTCATGCTGTGGCCACAGACATGTGATCTGATGGTGAGTTTGGGGTAGCCCAATTCAAAAATCCTGAGGATCCATGTGGATCCGTGCTTTGTAACCACGTTTTAAGTGGGGAGGGAAGGGAAAGCACTCAAGGGACAAGGAGCACACGTGGGGTGTGTGAAGAAGGATGCTTCTAATAATGCAGGCGAGGGATTTAAGGGGAGAAGGAGCTCGCGTGGGGTGTGTGGAGAAGGAGCTTTTCCGCGAGCTGAGCGGGGAGGAGGGACGGAAAGAGCACTGTTGCTTTAAAGGAGCCAACCGGACAGCAGCCGCTTACAGCAGTGTAAGCAGCTCCTCTCCTCTCCCGCTTTGCTCCTTCTCTTCTCTCCCTCTTTGCTGCTTTACACAGCTAATGGAGAATCCCCTGCAATCCAAGTCCTGCTCATGTGCTCAAACCTATCCAGTCTATTCTGCGTAATTTCCCCCTCTACCTCATCCCGTGCCCTCCTGTCCCCAGCGCGCTCAAGCAGCCAGCGGATCAGGGGAGACGCTGGGAGACATGCATTTCCCCCTCTCCCTCATCCCGTGCCCTCCTGTCCCCAGCGCGCTCAAGCAGCCAGCGGATCAGGGGAGACGCTGGGAGACATGCATTTCCCCCTCTCCCTCATCCCGTGCCCTCCTGTCCCCAGCGCGCTCAAGCAGCCAGCGGATCAGGGGAGACGCTGGGAGACATGCATTTCCCCCTCTCCCTCATCCCGTGCCCTCCTGTCCCCAGCGCGCTCAAGCAGCCAGCGGATTAGGGGAGGCGCTGGGAGACATGCATTTCCCCCTCTCCCTCATCCCGTGCCCTCCTGTCCCCAGCGCGCTCAAGCAGCCAGCGGATCAGGGGAGACATGCATTTCCCCCTCTCCCTCATCCCGTGCCCTCCTGTCTCCGGCGCACTGAAGGAGCCAGCGGATCGCTGGGGACGCGTAATTTCCCCCTCTCCCTCATCCCATGCCCTCCTGTCTGCTCCGTTTAGAGAGCGCGCAGACCTTTGCTAGCTGAGGCTGCAGCAGCTGTTGCTGGCTACGCAACGTTTTTAAAAGCGCCTGCTGGCTTTGAATTGCCTGCCTCCTTCCAGCTCGCTATGGCTCCCGTCTATCCCTCCTCCCGTGTAAGTGGCTGCTGCCTGCTTTTCTGCCATGCCTCTCCTTCCCTCCCTCCTCCCCGGCTCCTCCGTAGGTCGCTTTAAAGCAAGCAAAGCGAGAGCCTCGTAGAGCGTGTAAGCGGCTCTCGCTTTGCTTACTTTCAGAGAGCCCCTCCTCCTGGCTGTAAAGCAGGCAAAGCTAGAGCCGTGCAAAGCGAGACAGAAGCCTTGCAAGCGGCTCCCGCTTCGTTTAACTGACGGCAGCCATGGCTCCGGTCCAGTGCATTCACCCCATAACACGCACAGGCATTTTCCCTTACTTTCTAGGAGCAAAAAAGTGCGTGTTATGGAGCGAAAATTACGGTATGTTTTATATATGTTGTGAGCCACCCAGAGTGGCTGGGGAAACCCAGCCAGATGGGCAAGGTATAAATAATAAAATTATCAGTAGTAGTAACCCATCTGCAACACGGTCCAGGCACTTCTGCTTCTTAAAAAGGTGCAGCCTCTCTGGGATCAACAAAAGCAGAGGCCATTACAGAATTAGGGTTGCCATTCAGTATGATGAAGGAACTGTGAATGCCAGCAAGAACCTTAGGAAGCAGGTTTCAGTTATCATTACAGGCAACAGAGTGAGTGATGGATATTTTTTATCTATGGGGCACCAATATCTTTTCCGGAGCAGCTCTCACTTGGAATGAATGGTGGCTCTTTTCAGTGAGGCCTGCACATTAGAGATGCCAGACAGACTGTCCAGCTTATTAGCCTCCCCCCATTTACAACAGAGAGACAAACCCCTCAAAGCAATGTTAATATTATATCACATGCAGCTGAATAAATGTGTATAGAAATGGTGTGCATGCTCTGGGCAACTGTGACGAACTGGAGCTTCACAGCCATGTGTATTTGCAGCAAAACTGTCCCTTGCTATGATCAACATGTGGATGTCATTCTTTTTTGAATGTGAAAAGACTTCCCGCGCTGGAAAAAGTGGTCAGAGTGCAGCAGATTTAAAAGATAAGCACACATACTTCAATATCCACTGGATGGTGGATGGTTGCAGGTCTCCAGACTGCTGTTATTTTGTTATTTGGCTAGATATGGCTTTGAAGCTGGATTAAATACATGTTATAGTGGTCACAAGGAGGTTGCTGAAAATGATAGCCACACAGTGAGCTTGCTGTGCAGTTGGCCACTGTCCCATGGGGAGACAGCACACCCCTTTTGCCACCTGAAGCTTAGGTTTTAGGAGGAAATATCTTGCCACAGAGACACTTTTCCTTGTGGCATCCTTGCAGCAACTTTAACATGCATTCCAGATCTCAGTCCAGATCTTCTGAACATACTTAACAGTAGAGAGTAAGTTAAGGCAAGGCAAGGTACACCCGGCCATACTTTGTATTGTATAATTTAGGCTGCAGCATCCTTTGACAGACTTTATAGTTTTGTTTTCACAGTGGAAAAAAGTAATATTTATGTTCACACGTTTAAGGATCTAGCCTACAAATCAAGGGAAAGCTTTAAGAAGTAAATAAGAGAGGCTTGTAAATGCTTCTCTTAAGCGGTTCAGTGGATTATTTGATTTTATTTGGATTTACATGGCACTATGGGTTATTTATGAAAGGGGTTTATACTAAAGTTATCATTGGGGTCATTAGTCTGCTCTGACTTTTATTATTACTGGAGACAGCAGCAGTTTGTAACTGCTGTTTTGGCAATTAATGTTTCACAGCCTCCTTGCAATTTTTAGAATTAAAACCAGTTGTTGCACAACAGCTTCAGAATTAAACAGCAGCAATCATGAGGATTTAATTCCTACTCACCATATGGAGAAAGCATATAAGAAACTTCAGAACAGCATAATTTTGCTCAGGAAGTCCATGTACAATTTCTCTGCAGTTCATCACCCGTAAGCTACTTTCTACACCTGCAAGAACACAGAATTTATTATAACTAATGTTGATAAAGAGTCAAAGAGGTGCATTGCCAGAGAGGAACAGTATGTCTTTGTTTGATCCCAAATGATCTTATCTGTCAAGGCTTTTGTCTGGTACAGGCTAATAAAGGAGGACAAAATGCACTTGCAGTTCCAGTTTACACCCTCTAATGAAACTGCCTGGGAACCCTTTGTCCAAACCCAAATCTCTTCCATATCCAAATTCAATCCAAACAAGACTGCACCACTTATCCATTCGCTAGTGGGAACCTGAGTTCTAATGTGATCTTACAAAAACACACACAAACACAAGCTACAACCCAACACACCCCTCACCCTACTTCTCCACACAATGCAGAAGAGTCACAGGTTCACTTCATGCCAAGCAAGAGTGACAAATGACATTCTTTCCTCTAATCATTTGGCAGACGCAGAGCACTTGGCACCAAGGATCAGCTTCTAATTTTGTACCACCCTTTGCAGACACTTCGAAACAGCAGGGATAGAGTTTGGTCATCTTTTGTAATATGGCGCCTTTGTGAGGCCAAAATTTGGTGTCCCCAAATGTCTCTTCTCCATTTTGTGCCCTTTTGGCTTGGCACCCTGTGCAGAGAAAGCATTTGCACTGTTCTAAATCCAGCACTGGAAACAGCAAAATATTCTTGCTTCTTCTCAGTGTCTGCACAGTCCAGTGTGAAATGGTTGACTCCTTGCCTGTATCAAGTTCCACAACACTTGAGGGAGGATCAGGGCTGAATATAAAGCCCAACCAAAATATGTGAACCCCTGCAATGGGAACTTTGATTTCACTTGTAGGCCTGCAAAGTCTTGAAAATTCTAGGTGCCTTTAAAAGAAAAGCATGTGTCTAACTCTCATGGTTCATGTAGACAGATTTGAATACTGCATCGCATGTCAACTCTTCCACAGAAATCCATGGGACTTGCAAGTGCTCAGTTCTGGCAGTGTTTTTTGGACGGCAGAAATCACAGATAAATCAGAACCACATTTATTATTACAGTGGTACCTTGGGTTACATACGCTTCAGGTTACAGACTCCGCTAACCCAGAAATAGTGCTTCAGGTTAAGAAATTTGCTTCAGGATGAGAACAGAAATCGGGCTCCGGTGGCATAGCAGCAGCTGGAGGCCCCATTAGCTAAAGTGGTGCTTCAGGTTAAGAACAGTTTCAGGTTAAGAACGGACCTCCAGAACGAATTAAGTATGTAACCAGAGGTACCACTGTATTATTATTATTATTATTATTATTATTATTATTATTATTATTATTATTATTTACTCACTGGTAATTCCAATGATTTGATCATAGGGTTCAAAGGTCAGTAAAGGCTCTGGGAGTTCCCTGAGTAAAGTCTTAAGTATGACAGCAGGAATATGGATATCTCCATAATCATCAAAATTAACAGATTTTCCTACATTAAAAAAAAGTCAAATTAGCAATATAGTTTTACAACCTATTTACGACCTGTAGGCAGACCAACATTGCATTATGAAGATGTCTGCAAACATAATATGAAGGCCGGCAACATTAACCCTGCCCGGTGGGAATTTCTTGCAGAGGATCACAGCACCTGAAGACAGTCAGGTCGTATATCCACATCAGTGACCAGAGGAAGAATGATCGCTGGGAGGAATGCAGAGAGAAGAAACCAGCTGCAATAAAACATGTCTCTCCTGTATTGGTCTCTACGGCCACAATAGGCACTGTAACTCTCCAACCAATTGATTTCACCCCTTTCATGACATCAGGTAATGATTCAGTATTCTAAACATTTCAAATGCCTCCTGTTATTTCACAGGTTGTTGCTGCCTATCTTAATGTTAGGATGACATATTGCCCTTACTTCAACCAGTAGATTTGTCAGCTATAGCCTGGACCCACAGAACAGCTCTTCCCAATTCCCAAAGAGTCTTTTGATTTGTGTTTATGCAAAAGCAGCCCTCATGCACTTAAGAAACATAGAGGACCTTCAAATGGGTTTGTGATATGGAATGTAACTTTGCCATTCAAAGGCGGAGTGAGTCAAGACATAGAACTGCCTTATAGTCAGACAACCGATTCATCCAGAACAGTACTGTCTACTCCAGGGCTAGCCAGCATCTTGTTGGGCTACAACTGCCATCTTCCCTGACCATTGGCCATGCTCACTGTTGCAGTCAAACATTTCAAATTAACTAGTCTGTGAAGTAAGGGATCCTCTTAAGTGACAATTCATGGGACCGAGCCTGGGACTTCATGGATGCAAATCTTGTGCCCTAGCAAGAGGCTGCCTAAATCCAACTGAGTACACCCATTGTAATTCTTTTGAGCTTGGCTAAAAGTTTCATTTGATTAACTAGCATGGACCAATTTCAATGGGTAAGGCTAAAAATTAAGATCCTGCTAGTTTGTCTATTAATTGTTTATTATTACGGTTCTGGTAGGTTAGTGTAATAGCGAATGGGGAAAACAATTAAGGGTAGCCTTTACTCATAACAATGAGCTATAATTTATCATTAATTTATCATTTACTATACAAACACAATCTCAAATTTCTTTCAATTTCCCCAAAGGAATCCATATCTGGTAATATGCACATCTATTTAAATGTCATCAATTAAAAGGCAGATGATTAATCAACTACTCACTGAAGACAGCCTTACACAACATGACATTTCAGGTTACAAATCAGCTTATCATTAACCAATAGAGTAGTAAGGGATCCATGCTCACCAAAATCAACAATATTTTAAAAATCATTATTATCTTTTGATTATAGCAGATGAAAACTTACCCTGATTATAGAGTTTCTGAATCTCCTTAATACTTTGTATGCTGGCTGACCGTCTAAACAGTCCTTCTGCTCTGAGTCCTGCAAGGAGGTGGGGGTGGGGAAGCATTAATAGGATTCCTCATAAAACTGCTGTTCACAAACATCTTTCTGCTGGTTCAGATCCCTAAGACTCCAGTGCAAAGAGAAAGGGATGTCTGACTAAGTATGCTCACAAACACAGGAGCTGCACCCTGGTGCTGGTTCACATGAGGACAGGAGTGCATTTTTCAGTTGCTCTGCTTATGTACACACTGCTGTCAGGAAGGGTCAGGCTTATTGATTATGACCTGGTTTTCTGGATATGTACCCTCACAAGAAAGTTTGCAACATAATCACATAGCAACGATACCCTAAAATTATGAATTCTAACAGTTAAAATGATGCTGGGACGCGGGTGGCGCTGTGGGTAAAAGCCTCAGCGCCTAGGGCTTGCCGATTGAAAGGTCGGCGGTTCGAATCCCCGCAGTGGGGTGCGCTCCCGTTGTTCGGTCCCAGCGCCTGCCAACCTAGCAGTTCGAAAGCACTCCCGGGTGCAAGTAGATAAATAGGGACCGCATACTAGCGGGAAGGTAAACGGCGTTTCCGTGTGCGGCTCTGGCTCGCCAGAGCTGCAATGTCACGCTGGCCACGTGACCCGGAAGTGTCTTTGGACAGCGCTGGCCCCCGGCCTCTTGAGTGAGATGGGCGCACAACCCTAGAGTCTGTCAAGACTGGCCCGTACGGGCAGGGGGTACCTTTAAAATGATGTTAAAAGATGGCAGCAAGAGATAAACCATTGGTTAAAACACAGCATCGTAAAATTACTCAACTGGATGAAAGAACTCTTTAAAGCTTTCCTAAAGGCCAAATATACAGGATCAAACCTATTTCTGGTGTGGTGGCGGCTGTGTTCTGCAAATGTGGGGTTGCCACGGAAAAGGCATCGTCCCTGGTACTCACTAATATGACAGCTCTCAATGGTGGACTACAAAGCAATCTCTCAGATGCTAATATTAAGACAGGGTCATAAGGGTGAAGATGGTCCTTCAGAGAGGCTGCCCCAAACTTTAGGGTATTCATAGGATAATGCCAGTACCTTAAAATGAACCTGCAAGTGGGTCAGATTTAGCCGGGGAATTGTTGAATCGGCATGCCTTGCGCTGCCCACCAAAGCCTTGCTTACCCGGGTTGTGCAACTGCAATTTCCAGGTTCCAGTGAGATCCACTGGCACCATCTCTGCAGGGCTGTGGGTGCCAAGGCACCCACAAAATTTTCAATGAGGGGGCCAGGCCTCCTCAATATTCCTCAGCTATGTGGGCTCCAGTGGGCCCTGCCCTGGCTGCACCAGGCTCCCTCTACTGTGAGGAGGGCAGCCGTAGTAGGCCCCTCTGGGCCTTTTGGAGGGCACGCCAGGGCTCCTCCCAGTGTGTGACATCATGTTCAGCGTGCATGACTTCGTGCGCACCAGGCACCCACAATATTGGGTGGAACCCGACACTCCTGGCAAGATCGCACAAGAGCCCCATGAGATCACACAGAGGCTTCAGTTTGATTGGGTGGGGCTGAAGTCTCGCCACAACCCAGAAGCTGTCATAGCGGTTTCTCCTCACTTCTGTGGTAGTGGCAGCAGTGGGCATGCCTGCGGAGGCACCCCTTCAATGCTTCAGTCTGCTTCATGGATGGGATGGCCCTGACTGGGAGTTGTCTCCATGTAGTTGGCTCATTGGGCTACTCTAAATGGGCATCTGAGTTGACCCATAAATACAAGAGCGTTTCCATCGGTCCTTAAAAGATTGTGAACTGATTCTGATGAGCATGAGAATATTCAGTTGCACGAAGAAGCCACTCACACAATCCATCTATTCATGTGAGCTGTGCAGCACTGGAACCATGAGCTTAGCAACATTGCGGCTCCACCATGCATCTTTTAAAAAGTAGAAATGGGAAGTGACTTTGTCACCAACACACAGTTTGTGTTGTTGTTGTTGTCGTCCAAATGAGTTCTCTTTCAGATTTCCTTGCTTGGGTCCAAGCTTTCTTCTTTCCCAACTATCTGGAAAATGCGGCCTTATTCTTTTTCCTGTCCCAAATGACAACTTTCATTCTCATTCTCATTCTCCCAATTTTGTTGTGGGCAGAATAGTTTGCCCTTATCTTCTACAGCCTAGACAAGTTTCACTTGGGATAGATTTTCGAGCAGTCAGTCCTTCGGTTCACGAGAGTTTATTTAACAGTTAATGCTCTTGTCTGTTGAAGATCTCCTTGTGTAAAGTGCTGCATAATAAATGTTTCCTTTTAGCAGGCTAGGTTTTTGTTTTGTTTTTCCCGGTATGCTTTAGTTTAAAGTGACTTGCAGCAAGCCTTAATTGAAGACATTAATCTGAATTACAGACAGCAGCTGTGCTTGTCTGGAACGGTTGTTTGAGACTCACATCTTTCTTACTTTAGCAGTGCCATAGCATCAAACCTTTGCCGGGTAGCCTTCCTGCCAGTCTTGAGGACAGAGCAACATTTAACTACAGCATAGAAATATGAAATAATGGTGTGACCTATTATTCATATCAGAGATTGCATTAATCAGGCAGCCCGAGATGTGAGTGGATATCCCTTGGTCTTTTTGGAAGATAAATATACAAAATGGTTGATTGGTTATCTGAACATGAGCTTTTCTGGGTGTGGATTTTAGAGGTCTGTGTTCAAATTCCTGGCTAGACATACAGAATAGCCTTGGGCAGTTCAGTCTTCTGCCTTAGCATTATACGTATTCCAACAAACCCAAGGTAGCTGAAACTATCAACAGAACTGTATGGAACAACCTGACATTTACAGAGCAAAATATCCTCTTGAATTATATACCCAGCACATGGAACTTACAAAAGGACAATGCGAGTGGACTCTCCTGCCTTACTAAAGCAAAAAGACGGATACTGATGAATGGGGAAAATTAAAATGCTGCTCCCTTCTACGATTGGATTGGAGACTTATATAAACTCGCCACGTAAGAACAACTTGCATATAAACACAGACTTGCCATGGACAAATTCAATGATATTTTGAACCCATTCTTACAAACTAATAGCTTAAGATCTGGTGAGGCACAATAACAACTTTGTAAAGTATACAGTTTTGGGTTCCCCCTTTATTTTCCCTTCTTTTCTTCTTCTTCTACTTGTTGTTGTTTAGTCATGTCCGACTCTTCGTGACCCCCTGGACCAGAGCACACCCGGCACTCCTGTCTTCCACTGCCTCCCGCAGTTTGGTCAAACTCAAGTTGGTAGCTACGAGAACACTTGTCCACACGGGTGCTATTTCTTTTTGTCTCATCATGTTTCGTGCACATATAATTATGTACTTTTTGAACTTTCAATAAAGAAGTCTGTGGAAAAACAAAACAAAAAAACCCCTACAAACACACCCAAACACTGAAATCCTGTTGAGCTCAGTGCGATTTACTCTCAACTGCATGTTCTAGTTCCAGCTCTGGATATGGACAGAAGACTGGCATAAGTTCTCACACATTCGAAGATAATAATAATTTTTCAAAATGTACATTTAAGAATGTAATTTCAAATGCTTACTTCCCTCCTCCCAATCCTTGACACAGGATAGGGAAAATAAATATTTACGTAAATGCAATCCAAATCCAGCTTGCCCTAAGACTGGACTTGGAGGAGAGTGGATGAGGCTTGAATCTCCCCTCTGGCCAAAAGCTCACTGGGTGACCTCTCTGGTTAGCTTCTCTCTCTCTCTCTCTCTCTCTCTCTCTCTCTCTCTCTCTCTCTCTCTCTGCCTAGCCTACTTAAAAGGAGTGATGTGAGAATAAAATAAGCCCATGTTTACCACTACGATTAAGTATCTGAAATACAATGGGAGCAATCTAATACCTGCTTCACATTTGCTGCTTTTCTGTATGTCAGTTTAACCCACATTCAAAGGTAAAATACAAATAGAGTACACAGTATACACCGCGTATACACAGCGGTTCTGAGTTGTATCTATAACAGGACTTTGCTGGCTGAGCAGCTAACAAATGCACCAAATAAAGAAATAAATCACCACTGTGGATGTCTGAAAACAAGCAAATGACATTTGCATGTTGACAACCCCAGATGAAATTTGTGACGGTCCAAATACTTCAAGGATGCAGCAGTGAACACTGACAGTCACATAAGCTTTTGAGGGCTGTCCCAACAAATGAAGACAAACACCAGGGAATGCCAACGTTCACAAAATTTGCCTGAGATTGCCAATTTTCAGGTATGAATGTTAATATTTGCCACATTTTGGATACTCAGAGCACTGAGTGGTAAAGCAGCTTCCACTACACCCTTGGCGGGGGAGGGTAACTGCTGAGCTGAGTGATGCCCTGAAATTTCACCTTGATAGCAAAGGGATGGGAGGATTCCGTGAGATTGGCAGAAGGTTGACTGAAACTGCTGATATGCTGGAGGCAGGGTTTTCAGAAGTATGAAAGGGTAGCAGAGAAAGAATGACAGTGTTGGCTCTGAGAAGGAAGGCTCAAGGAGGATGCAAGCACCTTTCTAAATAACCAGCGGTGGTCAGTGGGTGCAGTAGTCCCTGCTCCTTTCTAAGACAAATTTTGTGGCTTGGATGCAAGGGCCAAGAGAAGAATGAAAGAAAGCAAGGGTGTGCTACTTAATAGCACATGAGCAGAAACTAATGACTTGCGAATGGCTCCTGTGTTTAATCAGCAATATGCGCATGAAAAACACATATACAGTGGTACCTCGGGTTACAGACGCTTCAGGTTACAGATGCTTCAGGTTACAGACTCTGCTAACCCAGAAATACTACCTCGGGTTAAGAACTTTGCTTCAGGATGAGAACAGAAATCGCGCGGTGGCAGCACAGCGGCAGCTGGGGGCCCCATTAGCTAAAGTGGTGCTTCAGGTTAAGAACAGCTTCAGGTTAAGGACGGACCTCCAGAACGAATTAAGTTCTTAACCCCAGGTACCATTGTACATATTTTACAACATTGCATTAACAGAGTAGCCAGGAATCACAGTCCTAAGTCTAACTGACAGGTATGTGTATGTAACTCTTTTATTTAAAAGCATATGCAAAGGGAAGGGAGAGTTGGCTACAGACATTTCTATTTTGGAAGCAGAGTTCCTCATTGATTCTTACGGGAAGTTCTACTTCATAATCAATGGAACAATTTAGCCCAGGATGTGAAGAGAGCTTCACTTGCCATTTCCTGACCTTATAAGCAAAAAGTCACTAGTGCATGGTGTGTGGGTAAATGTGTTGTATAAATATTCAGACCACTGTAAATACAGGGCCTTTATTCAAGGAAGCAGTGAAGCTAGATGCTTAGAACAGAATGCATTTTTGGTCCTTTCATTTCACCCATGTGGCTCTGTGGTCTGATCCACTCCATCCCTACAGCTGCTTTTCACCTTACTGCTGGAATTCCCTCCCCATCCCAGATATTTATCACAATTTTTTTTGTCTAAAACCAAAGTAAATCCTTACCTTTCCTTTTTAGATAAGACACAGTGTGCTTCATTACTGGTGGGATTAATTCACCTTTGTTTTTAGCTTTGAGACTGTTGGAGCAAAGAAAAACAAATCTGAACAAGTTTTCTCACAGGGTTTCCATACCATTTTCTTACAGGGACAGCTCATATTTGAATCAACTGATTACTGCAGCACTGTGTGCTGTGTGAATAAGCCATCTCAAATAAATTACAAATGAATGAAAATTCAGAGCATTTCCAAGCACCATGCTGCTCAATGGAGTCTGTTCACATGCTCAGCTGTGACTCAGCAAGCGATGAGTAATCAAACTATAACCCAGCTCATCACTGAAACACTCCTGATCCGTTCTGTAGTATCCAGATACCAGGAACATTTCTGTAGTTAACTAATCTTGTATTCCACAGGGCCCATAATGGTCTTTCCAAGAAAGCAAATCTTTATTACCACCTTGCGGTAAAAAAGAATGAATAGGAAGGAAAGGAGTTTTTATCCAGTGTGGCATATGAATTGTGGCAGTCCTAGATGAAGACAGAGGTAAGCCCTCTCATCAGTGATGGATTTCTGTGGCTGATCCAAACCTGCAAAACAGCATCTGTTTTCTGGTTCTTTACAATAAAAAGAAATTTGGTTCTGTATAAGGAATGCAGGGGCAGATCTACCTTGTGGAAAGGCTGCTTTCAGGATCTGGCAATGTGGCATCAAAGGCAGGAACCCAATCCAAACACAGTCTGAAATCCAGTTAGGCCAGACCAGTTCCAAAGTCAGCTGGGGTTGGTCCACACATAATTAACAAAATATACTAGTGTAAAAATGATTTTGCCTCACATACAAATGCATGGGATTTCTCATTCCTATAGATTGTATTCTACAGATTACTGAATGGTTTCATTCAGTATGTAGTCATTTCACAATAATTAAGAACAGGCTTCCTTATCCTTCCTTTCTTTAACGTCTCAAAAATAAATCTGTTTCTGAGAAACCGTAGACCATGAATGTTCTGAGTTCTCTGTTGTGATGTAGGCACTCATAACTGAAGGAGTTTTAAGCATTGTGAGGAAGAGAGACTGAGAAAGAGAACAAAGAAACACATGGCGACTCATCCAGATGGAGTAAAAAGAAAACTCCTTTTTCCCAATAACATGTGACAGAAATTGTGTGGCTTACTATTGGAGGACTGACACCAAACTGCTGGGTTGGAAGAGGGGGTCTTGGTGGAGGGATCTTCACTGCAGCAAGTGGCTTTTTCTTTTGTTTAGTCCGAAGATTTTCATCATGTCTAGTGGAGAAAAGTACACATAATATTCAAGAATGATGTTTGAATCATTCATGTTTCTCAAGAAAAACTTACAAAGACGTATAACAAGTTCTAGAAGTTCAATCACATTGAAATCTTAATTTCAGACTGTAATCTCTTCACAGAATATTAAAACATAAAATATCAACAAAATGTACCACTTGCTATTCTCAATTCCCCACTTGCTGGAGTACACTTCATCTTATCCGATAGCTGACATCACTTGGTATTCTTTTGTATTGCACCAATAAGGAATACCGTAACATTACTGTTTATCTTCAGGTTAGGGTTTTTATTTTTTGTTTAAAGAACATATTTTAAGGAATATTTGTGAGACACACCTTAGATTAGGGCTGCCATATTTCAGAAGTGAAAACCTCTGGACACCAAAGTTGTTGAGCTTTTTTTGATTTTCATCTCAACAAAAAAATGAAACCTCTGACATGGGTTGCCATATGTCCAGATTTTCCTGGACATTGAAATGATTCCTACCCAGACACTGTTTCTGATGGCCGAATCCCAGTTATGTCTGGGAAATTCTGTACGTTTGGTAACCCTACCTTAGATGAGATCAGGGCCTCGGTGAACTCTGCTAGAACACTTTTCTCATGGGTACATCAGGTCTAAATAATGTTTTTGTTTTACAGTGGTACCTCGGGTTACATACGCTTCAGGTTACAGACTATGCTAACCCAGAAATAGTACCTTGGGTTAAGAACTTTGCTTCAGGATGAGAACAGAAATCGTGCTCCGGTGGTGTGGCAGCAGCGGGAGGCCCCATTAGCTAAAGTGGTGCTTCAGGTTAAGAACAGTTTCAGGTTAAGAACGGACCTCAGGAACGAATTAAGTACTTAACCTGAGGTACCACTGTAGTTTGAAAGCTGCAGCACTAATGCTGGAATCTTGGTTCCCGCAATGACCTTGAGGAGGGAGAGTGTTGTATTTTGCCTGTTTATTTTGACATCCATTGCCCTGAGCTCTTTTAAAGGGGGGAAGATCTATAAATATTCTGAGTCAATAAAAATAAAAAAGTAAATAAATGCTTTAGCCCTTTAAGATCATGAGAAAGAGAGCACCAGGAATGCAACAGCACAACAGTGTCCTGCTTCTCTGGTTGTACGGCAACTGCATGTGTCCTGCCCTCCCTCTTTTCTGTCATTAAAGCTACACAAGAGTAAGATGAGAAAGAATTTAAGAAGAGCCCTGCTAGATCAGACAAAAGCCTCATCTCCTCCATCATCCTGATGGGGTGGGGTGACCCACCAGCTGCCCACAAGCAGGATATGAGCACAACAGCCCTCTCCCCGCTGGTGCTCTTCAGGAACTGACATTCAGAAGCATATTGCCATTGATCCTGGAGGGAAGGATTAGAGGCCACTGATAGCCCCCATCCTTTAAAAGCCATCCTGGTTGTCCACCATAACCACATCTTGCAGGAGCCAATTCTTTTGTTTAACTAGGCTTAACTAGTCAGCTTGTGCATCTTGGTTCAGAGGCTTCCAGTGCTGGATTAAACCCTGTGGAGGCCCCAAGGCAGACAAAATCTCGGGGCGGGGGGCTGCCAAATTATCTCCGGATATATTTTTGTAATTTTCTGTCAAGTTCAAATCAATATTCTTTGGCTCTTTTGTCACAGGGCCCCCAAAATGCTGGTGCCTACTCTGGCAACCCGGCACTGGAGGCTTCTAACAACAATACGTTCTAACTCTCCTCCAAATGCAGTACCATGGCAGCTGCAACTGCAATTCTTAGCACTCTTTGACTCTATTCCTCTGACTTTATGCCCTTCATACGCCTCACACTTTTGAACATCAAGAAGAGTGAACCTCTAGGCTGCACACGGCTCTCTCATTTCCTCAGTTGTGGGAGGTCAGCTTCTGGGCAGAAAACCTGGGAAGGTGACCACTGTGCTAGGCTGGACCAAAGGGCCATATCATACACCGCCATTGTTTAAGTGGACAGCTAAGATACTGTACACATACATTTGAATATTTAAAGTCGTAACAAGAAGCATGCATGGGCATACTTGTATTTACAAATACACTTAGCATACATAGACACAACACTTGCTAGGGAACCAGATTGGCAGCTTCCTGTTTGCAAAACAGCTCTGAGTTAAAATCGTAATTCTGTCACTTTTACAAGATGGAAGTATAACTCCTCCTGTACATTAACTGCATGGTTATTTATTAAGCAGGGAGGCATATATGAACGTTTAATTGTTATATATTTACGTACTGGTGTACAAAAACCCATTTATATAACAGTGATGCAGCACCAGTACATTGTGTTTCATTTTATTGCTCTGGCTAATGGCTGATGCAAATAAAGATTCTTCTGATCTGATCTGCAACACCAGCTTCTGTCAGTCAACCAAAGCATGTAAAATACTGTCACGAAGCATTTTATAGCTACTTCCCTCATCTGGAGATTCTAAGTACTTTAAGGAAAATAACAGTGGCTGCAACTGGGAGTTCTGGTGACCTGAGAATAGCTGGAACACTCCACTGATAGGCTTGAAAGTGTGAGTAATCCCTGCTGAAAAACCAGAAGTCAGAGAAGAAGCTGGTTGCCCGTGGTTTAATGCAGGGGTTTAGTGTGCTCTGCAACTCCCCTACAGGGAAACGTTGCTGCATTTTGGACTTTTTAGTTTAGAGAGAAGACAAGTCAGAGGTGACAGGATAGAAGTTTATAAAACTATGCATGGCATCGTGAAAGTGGTTAGAGGAAAGTCATTAGCATTTGAACTTGTGAAGCTGATGGCCGGGAGATTCACGACAGATAAAATAAAGTATTTCTTCACCCAGTGCAGAGCTGAACTAATGGAAGATAAGGCTGTCCACAGCTACTAGACACGATGGCAATGTTCTGCCTCCAGGGTCAGAACCATGTATATGTCTGAGCACCAGTTGCTAGCAATTGCTCATGCCCTGCTTGTGGGCACCCCAGAGGCATCCATCTGGTCAGCCATTGCAAGAACAGGATGCTGGACTAAATGGGGCATTGGTCTGATCCAGCAGGCTCGCCTTACATTCATATCTTATCACAATGAAGTAAAATAAGTAAAGTAGGAACACATTTTGTCAGTTCACATAATTTGAAGAAGTTGCAAAAACCAGCTTTTCTCGGTGCACAGTTTGGATTACTGGAGGCAGAATTTCCTTTTCCTTTTCAACGCAGAATAAATACAGCCCAAATGATATTCTGGTCCACGTGTAACCCCTGCAGAGACCTATTTACTTTCTCTGTGGTGAATCGTTCAACATTTCTTAGATGTTATTACTGGTGACAATGCACTTTGTACGATAACATGTAGCCAAGAATAGATTGGGTATATCAAACATTTAATCAGACAGAAATTTAGTGAAGTTGTCTGAAAAAGGAAAACAATTTAATATAAGACCTCATCCCCCCCCACTTTTTAAAGAAGAACCTTAAGGACTGTTTTGAACGTGTTACATACCGAATAACTTCTTGAGGGATCTTAAGTTGGTCGTATTTAAGATGGTCTCTCAGGTCACTCAGGTAATTCAGATAGATTACCTTTTTTCCAAACTTGTGACTAAAAATATAAGAAAATTTATACAAACACAGGAATTAGGAATACTTCCTGAAAGTGTTACTTTAATATTATGAAACCTGAATGTCAACGTGAGTGCCAAAAGTGGACTATGATTAAAGCAGCCAAGGTACAAGATGCATTCATTTTCATTTGATCAAACATAAACATACCATGCTTGAGTCCAATTTGAATAAAAATGACTGCCTTCCATCCTAATGTAACTGCTATTTGCATAGATATAGAAACCATTGTTTTGAGAGGGAAACAAAAACCTTTATTTTAATGCAGCATTAAAAATGTATGGAAAGAGTATGTTCTGTTAAGCTTTCTATGTCAATAGTTAAGTGGAAAAAATAGACCTTATTGCTGGCAAAGCAATTTGTGCCTTGCTTTATATGGAAAGATTAAATTGCATGGCAGCAGCTTCCATAGGTCCAATTCTTCACTGCCTTGACAGAATGGAAAGCGCCTTCCTGCTCCTGCTAATATCTGGATGTAGGTGTCAGTGTTGGTTGTGTAGAAGAAGAAGAGTTTGGATTTGATATCCCGCCTTTCACTCCCTTTAAGGAGTCTCAAAGCGGCTCACATTCTCCTTTCCCTTCCTCCCCCACAACAAACACTCTGTGAGGTGAGTGGGGCTGAGAGACTTCAGAGAAGTGTGACTGGTCCAAGGTCACCCAGCAGCTGCATGTGGAGGAGCGGAGACGCGAACCCGGTTCCCCAGATTACGAGTCTACTGCTCTTAACCACTACACCACACTGGCTCTCAGTGTAGTTTCCATTCTGCTGCAGCTCGGATTCCAAAGAAAACCAATTAATGTTGCTATTATTAGGATATTCCACACTATTCTTTTCAATGCAAAGAAAACCCAATGCAAATTAGAGGGGAGGGGAATTACCAATTATATATCATTTGTGGAATGAAAACAGCAATGAATACCAACTGTATTCACTGGATTGATTTCTGTTCCAGATGCATGATGAATAAGGAAACACTGGGAATTTCCACTCCCATTTCCATTGGAATTCTCTGACAATCCCACATGTGTTGCAGGAATAATTTGATGTTGTTGTTTTTCTGGCGAAAACTTTGATCCCTACACTTCCCAAGCAGAAATGATCTTATCTGCCCCTTCCACATGGTTCCTGCAGTCAGAGGGACATGGGATAGAAGCTTGGAAGCTTTTCCCGTATTGCTGTGATAACATACGCTACAGACAAACTTGATGCAGCACAACACAGTCTTCTCTCTTTTTTAAAGATCGTGTCAGAAGCAGTTCATCCAATTTTCAACGGGACTGAGCTGAAATTGTTCCAAGAACATTTTTGGCAGTGTCAAAGATGATTAAGGGTCTGGAAACCAAGCCTTATGAGGAACAGTTGAGAGAGTTGGGTGTGTTTAGTTTGGGAAAGAGGAGACTGACAGGAGATATGACAGCCATCTTCAAATATCTCAAGGAATGTCACATGGAAGATGGAATAAGCTTGTTTTCTCCTGCTGTAGAGAGTAGGAGCTGAACCAAAGGTTTCAAGTTGCAAGAAATGAGATTCTGACTAAACATCAGAAAGAACTTTCTGACAGCAAGAGCTGTTCGACAGTGGAGCAGACTTCCAGGAGAGATGGTGGACTCTCCTTCCTTGGAGGTTTTTAAGCAGAGGATGGATGGGCATCTGCCATGGACGCTTTAGCAGAGATTGCTGTATTGCAGGGGTTTGGACAAGATGCCTCTTGTGGTGCCTTCCAACTCTACAATTCTATGATACTGGGATGATTCACATCAAAATTTGAGAAAATGTTTGCCTATTTGTTTCCATTACATTCACTCAGGATAATAATATCCTCAGCACTCCACTCCTTTATGGTGTGTGCTCACTAACTAGACATTTACTCACTGATATTTGGGGTCTGTAAATCAGCAGAATTGGCTCCCACTGCTTTTGGGATCAATATCCCAAATTATCATGATGCTTTGTCCCTCCCACAGTTGTCCCTATGCGCACGGGACTCTGCGGCTGGCAGTCTGTGCAAGAGCATTTCACACGGGAAGCACAGATCTCTTTGTCTCTTGAACTACACGTCCTACATTAACAGCACACTCTCCCTTTTGTAGAGAAGGATTTGGGCCAGAAGCTCACTGTTCAAAATACTGATCATTCTGTTCAAACTCAGCTTCTGATTGGCTCCAGCACACCTTACAAGATCCAAACACTATGAACATAGGATATCCATAAACATAACCAAGCATGATCTAGAACTTAATGGTAATGGGGGTAAAGTCTCAGATCTCTGGGCCCCAGAGAGAGTACCCTTTCATGTATCCCTTACTTAGACCCTGAAAATAAGACACAAATTGGACTAACATACTGTTAATATTATTCCCATTTCTGTAAATTATTCTGCAGAATAACATTGAAAGTCCAGCTCTGCATGCACCAGCACCCTCTAGTGGAAGACAGCAGAAATTTTAATTAGCAGAAATTAATTAACTCAAAGAGTTGGCTTCTGCTGTCAAGGAAGTACTTTTACAGAATTAACACACTTGATCCTCAATGTGTACAAACCTAGTTAGGCCTTCCAGGATGCTCTTCCATGATAAAATGAAGCATTTATGCCAGCCTATTAGCGAATTCCAAAAGAAAAACACACACGAACAACCAAAAACAGATTGTGTTACCCATGGAAGCAGTGCCTTAAATAATTTGCTCTTCACCTCAGGAGGGCTTCCTGTTCTGCAGAATCTGCTACCTTGACATTAACGTTTTATGGTTTTGCTGCTTTCTAATGGCATGAAACCCAGCCCTTTCACTCTCTCCCTGACTGGAAAAAGCCAACTTCAAGGATGGGGTGGAGATAAACATGAGTGTTTCCAATCGCTACTTCTGGAAAAGGCACCCGACACCTACTCCTACCCCCATGAACCTCTAAACTATTCTTCCTCTCAGCTTGAAACAGAAGAAAGCAAGCACTTCTTTTCAGGCGCCTTGTAAGTTCTTGGATTTGGAAACTTCTTGAACATTACACACACACACACACACACAAACACACACACACACACACAAACACAGACACAAATCTTCTCTGAATCTCAGCCCACCAGCTGCAATCTAAGGGAGGGGACTTTTAGCAAAAGGAGCTCTGAAGATGAAAAGAACTCCACTAGATCCCATATGTACCTAAGCACCACACTAATGGAGAGGATCTGGACCAGAGTGGTCCATGTTTTCATACCAAGTGGGCTGCAAGAGTACTTTGACATGGGACCTGCGGGCCACACACTGCCTTGTGTGGGAGGAGAAGTCATTACCTGATGCCCCAGGGCTTTGGGAAGGAGGTGCAAGGCTCTGGCAGGGTCTTAGAGCCCTCTCACCTCCCCCCCCCAGCTAGGAAAGTGCTAACTAGGCTTTGGGAAGGAGGCAGGAGTACTCTAGGATGCTGGGAAGTTAAGTCTTATGAACTTACTGAGATTTGGTACCATCAACACATGTTTAAGATCAGACAGCAAGTAACAGAGGAGAAAGTACCGTATTTTTCGCTCTATAGGACGCACTCTTACCCTCCAAAAATTAAGGGGAAATTATAGAGCGGAAAGTATAGAGCGAATGCAGGCTGTGCCGCTAAGCCGAAAGGCAGAACAGGGAGACGGAGCGCTGCGGAGGGCTCCGTCTTGCTGTTCTAGCTTGGGGACGGCTGCGCACAAAGCCTCTCCAGGGCAGCGGGGTGAAGGCTGCTCTCCTGCAGAGGCTAGCAAGGCTGTTCCCAAGCCAGAGCAGCGAGATGGAGAACTCCATCTCGCTGTTCTGGCTTGGGGACGGCTGCGCGCAAAGCCTCTGCAGGGCAGCAGGGCGCTGCGCTCCAAAGGCTTCAGGGATCTTTGAGGCTGGGGGTGGGGGAAAGCAGCGCTTCCCCCCACCGCCAGCCCCACACGCTTGGGTGAATGCACCTTGAACGCAACTTGTTTTAGAGGGGGAGAACAAGGGGAAAAAATTTTCCCTGTTCTCCCCCTCCTATGGTCCGGTGCGTCCAATAGAGCGAAAAATACGGTATCTGACATCAACACAGTGAGCACAATGGAACAGAGTGGGAAGAGTGAGAACTCTGAACACAGTAGACAGCAAAGTTAAGAGGAAACATAAAATAAAATAATTTCACGTACTCATGCCAAGTCCTCATCACCCATAATATATTTCATTGGCAGGCTCCCCAAGTATTTTTACCTTGTGATTTCTATAACACAGATGTTTCTAGAAATCGCAAACTACCCTTCAGCCAAGCACAAAATTGTCTTCAGCAAACCAATATGTACCTGATTAGAGGTTTAAAAATGTTCCAAATAATTTTTATGAAATTGGTTGGATGTACAATGTAGAGCGCTTTCAGGTTTTTCTTATACCTGCAGAAAAGAAAATTAAATTGTTAGGAGACTTCTGAACGTTCCACGCTGTAGTGGAGTGGAGCTGCAATTGAATGTGGGGGAGTTTTTATTACTGGAACATTATACAGTATTCATTTCAAGTACATCTAATTCAGAGGAATTGAATGTAAAATGAAAAGAAGAAATGGTCAGTCCTGATGGAACTGAAGTAGGTGAAGATTATACAGCGATTACATTACAAACCAGTATTGAATTGTTTTGTGGGTATAATAATGGTGGGGAAAATCTCTCTAAATGGAAAAAAGTGTGTGGGAAATGGAGAAAGAAAAAAGGTAGCAAGAAGGGAGAAGATCTTTAGAAATTCAAGAGATGGAAACCATTATTTGATTCCAATTTCTGTTTTTCATTCATTAAAAAAGAAAGTTTCACACTGAAATGAATTTCCAACTTAATCATTTTCCTTTAAGTAATTTACTTCGCATTCTTAAAGATACCCGGAATATGGCATTGACCATAATGATATATGATCAGCACAGCCCCTGGTGGAAGCAGTTAAGTCTCTCAAGACCTTTCTTTATAGTAACATGTTGGAGGCAGCCAGAGGACACATCCAAGTGAGGAGCACCAAGGCAAAAGCAAGTTTAACAAGTGCCCTTCCTTGCCCTGCCCAGTGCTGCTACTATCTCCCAAAGTATTTTTAAACCAAGTTCATAGTAGCCACAGGGGTTGCTGGGTCGGCTAGGTGCACCCCCACCCTGAATATCCTTTGTTTTACCCCTCTTCTGTGTAGACCTGTCACTCCTGAGCTATGCAAGATGTACTGACAGTTGAGCTGTGGGTGGTTGGAGGCAGGAAAAATTAGGTTAAATCTGTTATTGATGTGGTGCTATGCCAGTGCGAAAGATTTCCAGGACTTTGTAGCACTGCAAGGCAAATCCAAAGGAGTGAATACTCCTTTGTGAATTCTAAGTTCATGGTGGTCGGGATTCTAATAACAGGTGCAGGTTGCCTTAGAGTTTGACCGATTTGCCAGGCATATGGAGCTTCCTGCCTGTTCACTACTTTTCTGCATGAGGACAGGGACAAACAGGTGAATTTCTTGCAGAAGTGAAAACATCACTATGGGATCCAGCAGCTTGCACTCCATCAACCCAGGGAGACTAAAGAAAGCAATTCTCCCTCTCCTCACAATGCTATTTCTATCCCGTGCAACAACTGTAAAGTCAGAATGCTTCTGATATGCCAAAAGCCTGGTAAATATTGTTACAGTGGTGCCTCGCAAGACGAAATTAATTCGTTCCGCAAGTTTTTTCTTCTTGCGAGTTTTTCGTCTTGCGAAGCACGGTTTCCCATAGGAATGCATTGAAAATCAATCAATGCGTTCCTATGGAAACCGCCTTCAGACCAGGTCTGGGGACAGTCTGTCCCCCGACCTCTTCTGAAGGCTGGGGGGGGGAACAAGGGCTTTTCTTCCCACCACCAGCATTTTAAAAAAACCCGGGACAGCGGAGACTTCTCCGCTGTCCCGGGGCGATCTTAAAATGCTGGCGGGCGGCAGCAAAGCCTCCGCTGCCGCCCGCCAGCATTTTAAAAAACCCTGGGACAGCGGAGGACTTCTCCGCTGTCCGGGGCGATTTTAAAATGCTGGCGACTTCTCCGCTGTCCGGGGCGATTTTAAAATGCTGGCGGGCGGCAGCGAAGCCTTCGTTGCCGCCCGCCAGCATTTTAAAATAGCCCCGGGACAGCGGAGGACTTCTCCGCTGTCCCGGGGCGATTTAAAAGCCCCCGGGAAGGCAGGCAGGGGGAGCAAAGACTTTCGCCCCCCGCCGGCCTTCAGAAGAGGTCCTGGACCTCTTCTGAAGGCCGGCGGGGGGCGAAAGTCTTTGCTCCCCCCCGCCTGCCTTCAAAAGCCGTCCGGGATAGCGGAGAAACGAAGGTTGGCAGCGGGAGGAGGTCTCTCTGCCCCGCTGCCAGCCTTCGGAGGAGGTCCGAGGACAGTGGGGAAGACGTGCTGCGCTTCCCCGCTGTCCCGGAGATTTCCCTATGGGCTTTCGTCTTGCGAAGGAAGCCCATAGGGAAATTCGTTTTGCGAAGCGCCTCCAAAACGGAAAACCCTTTCGTCTAGCGGGTTTTCCGTCTTGCGAGGCGTTCGTCTTGCGGGGCACCACTGTAATCCGTTTTAAATCATGCCACCCTAATCATATAGGACAAAGTTCATCTCGATCTCCTCCCTTCAGTGAATGAGTGCCACAGGCCTTTCTGCAAAGGCAGCTTAAGCTCTAGGTTATTGTGATGACAAAAATAGGAAGACCAAATATGTGCTATGACGTGCGCCAGGAAGGGGCAGGCAGGATGGAAATGCAATCAATTTTTAATTAAAAGTGGGGAAAACCTGGCCAAACTATGCCTTTATAATGGTGATTTTTTAAATTTTTATTTTAAAAAAGCATAATTTAGAAAACATACTTCCTGTCAAATTCTTTGTAGGCGCTTTGTAACCAACTCAGGGAGGGCTTGTTCTTACTGTTCAATCCATAGTGAAAGTAGACCACTGTGTAATCATTTTCCACATACTGGTCCAGTGCATACTTTAAATATCTGGAATAAAAGCAGGATAGAACACACCAATAAATACACTATTTTCACTGTGGAAGGCTATAATGGATGTAGCCCCCACCCTGCCCTGCCTGTTGACACATGAGTGAAAATAAGAAAAGACTTACTCTAATAACCGTCTGTGATTAAGTTGATAGGAAGGAGGCAAACGGCAGCAACTGAAAGCAATCACTTTTCTCCCCAAATTATCATCACCTGGTAAACCAACAAGAGTTTAGTTATCAGGGTGATAATTTCACTCTAAATGCACATGTTTTAAATGCAAAGCTTTACATACTGGAGGACAAAAGTTTAATATGAGGATGTAAGATAGAGAGTGGATCAGCAATTATTAAAAACAAGCTGTTGTGGGGAGCTACTTCTCCCCAAATATCATGCAGATAACCATGTTCACAAATGGGGCTTCTGGGCTGCACTGACACAAAACCACTTGTTCCTAGAGCTTCTGAATCTATTGATGGGCCCCTGCACTCCCAGCCTGGTTTGCTCCTCCTTTGGGGTGGGATGAGGAGAGGGGGAGAGGAGAAAAGGGGAAATGAAAGAAGTGAGAGGTGGTTTCTCCCAATGCCTGCAGGAGCAGGGGTGGGCATTTGGAGAGGATTCCTTACTTGGGGGGGGGGAGAGAAGCTAGCAGGACAAACTGTGTTCAATAATCAATACAGGACACAGCATTGTACACTGAAATATGGGAAGATGCCGTATTATACAGGATGAGTGGCAATCCTACATCTGAATATCTGAGCAAGGGTTGATGAGCCAGTAAGATTGCTGACTTACACACACGTAAGCTGAGAAACCTTCAATAGGATATTTAGCCCACTCCTCTGTGTGTGATCAACTTGAGATGCTCTCTTCTGTTTACACACTTGCATAAGCCAAAATATATACATACATAAACACATGAGTGAACAGCTGAACCTCAAAATAAGGGACTGGTCCTGCCAAGGCTTCTCTCAGTACTCACACTGTGGGTAGGGAAGGAGGGGGTGTGACAAAATACCACGGGGCCTGCAGCGCACCCAAGTCACGCATGTCTCCTGGGAGAGATGCGGTGACTTGGGCACATGCAGGCTCCATGCTACCCAGGCAGTCTGCCCGCTGCCTCCCCCCCAGCTGTAGGGCGGCTGAGTGGGAGGAGGCAGGCAGACTCCAGAGGCCCCGCCCCTTTGGGCAGCTCGCCCTGCCCTGGGTGCGCCGTCCCAGGCACCTGAGTGGCTTCCTCCGCCCTGACTGTGGGAAAGATGAGCCCTTTGTCTGTGCCTTATCATCACACGAGAAAAAGCTACACAAAGTGGGAAGATCCTTGGATATTGTTACTGTTGTTAATTTGCATCCCACCTTTTCTCCAAAGTGTTCAGGGTTTGTTTTTCACACATTTCTCCCCTTCTCCATTTATCATGACAACATCCCTGTGTGGTATTTAGGCAAACAGACAGTGACTGGCCCAAGGTTACTCATGGCTGAGGGATTTGAACCTGGTCTCCCAGTCCCAGTCCGACACTTGGACTGGAAGCAAGATGCCAGAGATCAGTCCGAGTGAGGGGCTGATCCGGTCACCCATTTGCTTTCCCTTCTGTTTGCAGGCTTCTATTTTTGCCCTAATCCTCCAAGTACTGTATTTCTTTATTACAGGTTAAATAACTTAAAGCAGGAAAATTAAATGATTTGCAAATACAACGAACATACCTACAAGGTGAAGTATATTATGTCTGGCCACATCATAATATGGGTGTGTTGGGCTTATTTCAGCATCACCATTTGACACAGATGCAAATGATACCTGGCTCCCTTCAAGATCTGCATTTTCTGCCTCATCTTTCCTTAATTCTGAAGCAAAAAACATATTTAGGTACATTTACCAAAAAAACCAACAACCCAATAACTCAGGACCAAATAATTTAAAAAAGAATACTGTTCTTTATTAATATATTCCAATTATTCAGATGCCAAGTACTTCTAGTCCAGATTCCTGTTTGCTGGAACCTTCAACTGGGGCTTGAAGGTTGCCACTCTCCCTTGCTGGGGTTTCCAGTATTGACAGGTCTGTGACCACTGCTACATGGTGAAATTGCCCACTCCCCCTTTAAAGCCATATAAGCCAATGACAATCACTGTGTTTTTATGGCAGTGAATTTTCAGTTGTGGGTTTTTAATTTTGTCTATTTTACTTCTTGTACTTTATAAAATTTCTATACCGCCCTCATTTGAAGATCAAAGGGCAGTTTACAATACAAAACACAAAAATACATACAAGAATAATAAACAAAACCAATAACCCTTCCACACACAGTTATTTGTTTTTATTGAATCCGTGTTCATACAACTGTTATCCAAAATGCCTATGTATTTGTTATAAAACACTACTGTTTGATGTTGTGATAGCTCAGTCTGTAGTGCATGAGACTGGTGCATGAGTGAATGGTTTGAGTCCATGTTGGACAGACGATTCCTGCATTGCAGGGAGGTTGAATAGATGACCCTTGTGGTCTCTTCCCGCCCTGCAATTCTAAATCTATGATGCATTGCATTGAATATGGCACTAATGAACCCGTGCTGATATGAACAGCTGAAGGGGGTGAAGCTGTGAGATGTATCAGGAGTGGGGGTATCAGGAGATGTATCTGTAATGGGAACACATCCTTATTGAGATTTTCAAAATGTGTTTCTGGAGTTCCCTAGAAACTCATTAAGGATTTCTTCTCAATGAGAAGACTAGCTGCTCTGAAAAACAACAGTCTGCAACTGCCTATCTCTGTACCGTGTGGCCACAGGAGAGAAATGGTGAACCCCAGAGTTCAGTCCATGGCCCTACAAACTGGCTACACCTGGTGTAGGAATCAACAATGTGAGTAGAGTGGACTGGATATATTTTCCCACAATGATGGAAAGCCTTCATGGAGAGAGAAACCACTGAAAACTGCTCCTTTAATAGGAATCTGTACAAATTAATGGAAAACATTGATGTTACAGTTGTTACTGTGGAGATTTTCTGCATATCTGGTGAACAGGCCCTCTAATTTTTTTTTGAAGGAGATGGTTAGCATTAACAGCACTAATGCTATTGGCACATCACATTTATTAGAAAGTTTAAAGAGCAGTGTAAAGATCCTGGATAACAAATTAATCATTAGCTTTTAATTAATAATTCATATAATTATTAATACCGCAATAGTTAACTATAACAATGCCATTTTCACATTGCATAAAGCATAAGCCATTGCACTTAGGTTAAAAGTGACATATTTTAATAGCAAGGAAGAAACAGTTTTATACAGACACTATTTTGTAAAGTTAAAATGTAAAAATGATCAGGCATTAACTCTAATGGAAATCTACTCATATTAAATATTAGCTTATGTCATCATTTATCAAAGTGAATAGGCAATGCTTACTTAATGGACCGGTAAACACTGTTAGTATGTTTAAAAAGTAAGAATTATATTATTTCGGTGTCACATTACGCATCCCTCTAGTCCAGCAGCCAACCAGATGCTTCTGGAAGTTCATGAGCAGGGCGAGGTGGTGATGGCAACCTGCTGTTATTTGTTCCAGGCACCCAAGCACTCAAAGGTATACTGCTTCCAACTACAGAGGATTGTTCTTACACGCAATGATTTGTGTGCAATTTCCTCCCTTTTATGTATAAGTGGTGAGATACAATTTATGTTTTCTGAATAAACAGGGTTTTCAAAAGTCAAATTTCTATATTATTATATGTTAGAATTGATTCCCCCCCCCAAAAAAAAAGATTGGGCCCCCTAATGAGTTGGCCATATGGTTATGTTCATTGGAACATCTTCAAAAGATAACACGCAATCAGGAGGTCTCTAGCCTCATTCAATACTTGTCTGTTTAGAGTAATGACTCCCATTTGTGCCACAATATGTGATGATAGCATTATTCCAATAGCCTAGAATTTCACTGGGAACACATGCCAATAATTCATTTAAACTGTGTGTATTAAACTAACCTTCAACCTTAATAGCTTTTGATAATAAGGTACATGCCAGTGCAGCGGTTGTAACTCAAAAATATTACACTATCCTGGCAAAAGTTTTTCACTTAGGGAAGAATGTCTTCTAAATCATCTGGAAATATAGAGAAGATACCACTTGATGGGCAGTAATAGATCTATCTATAATTTACCTATTTCAGCTAACTTTTCAAAATCGATTTCTGACATGCCTTCCATATACAAAGCTATCCAATGCAGACAATGTTGTCTTCTAGTTCTTCAGTCCTTGAGCAACCCTAAAAAACAAAACGAAAATTATTAGAATCAGAGAGAAGGAGAAAAGCTTCACCAGAGCATATTTTAGGGCTCAGTTCCAGACACATCTTGTTGCAGCTGTGCTAGGCACTCAGCATTGCATGACCTTTCTGCAAGTTTCTCTTGTAATAAAAAGAAGGCACCTATCTGCTTATTTCTTATTAAATTCATCAAACACCTTTCCAAGAGTGGGCAGATCAGTATGGGTCTTCAGGAAACTGTCTGAGTGATCTGCAGCGGATAAGCAACTGTTTCCAGCTCACAATGCTTTTAGCAGTGGTGATGAGAAAAAGCATTATTATTTTTCTCTCTCTCTCTGCTAAATTAGGCTGCTGGAAACTGGGGCAGGAGAAGAGAAGAGAAGAGAAGAGAAGAGAAGAGTTCTGGTGTTGCAAGGAAACTCCTGGGCCGACAATGGGCTCTGAAGCAACTTGTTCTTCCATTCTGTCTCCCTTCCTGATCCACTTGGTGTAACTCAGAATTCTAGTGGGGAAACAAAATAGATTCTGCAATCCTAAAGTCTGCCCAGTCCTGATGTACATAAAAATACCATTAAAACCCTAAGCTGCAGCAAAAAGAGAGCAGGTATGGGAACAGCAGAAAAATCAAATTATCTAGATCACAGCCCAAAGTGGACTTAAAACAGAAATGTTCTTGCTTGCCTCCTTGTAGTGGGACGACCAAGGCTAGGCAAATGGGAGGTTAGTTTTGCCTACCCACATGGCAATGGACTCCGGAAGAGTCAGGAAGTGGGTCTTTTCCTCAGCACCAAATTGACCTGTGTGAGTAATAAGCAACAGGCAGATAGGCAGGCAGAACCCCCTTTCTGAATAACTGCCCCCACCCACTCTGCCCCACCAAAGGTCTAGGTAAGCAAATCCTTCAACCTAAGTTTATTTCCCAGATTTTCTAAACAGTGCCAGAATGCCCCTGCAAAAAAATCAGAAACAAGTTAAAACACGAAGGGAGATGGGATCATGAAAAGAGAACATCTGCCCAGTTTTCAGCATATTGTTCCTGAGGGGCTCCAATTAGAAAGTTTCCATTTACAAGAAAAAATTACTGTAGCACCCTAGGAAATTAATTTCCCCCTGACCATAGCATTCTCTGTTCCTAAGAGATAACATAATCTCCTTAATAGCATTTGACGCCAAGTATTACTGTTTATAGTGAACTGCCAGAATTAACTCTTCCTCAATGCCTAATGAAGGGAAATGTTCCACAATAAAAAATTTGGAAACCTTCTACAATAAAGCCCAATTTGTATCATTCATGAGTACTACCTTTTGACAGCCTAGAAAGATTGTTGCCATGTAGGCATTAAAAAAAAAAATGAAACTGCAAACACAACAGTTAAAAAAATAAAAGAACCTGCATCAATGGATAGATGAAACAAAGCCAAAGGATTCCTTGCAATGTTTGTTAACTCTTTGATGCTTTCCCTTTGTTCCTCTGGCTGTCAGCTACACCAGTGTTTCCCAACCGGTGTTCCGCGGCACACTACTGTGCCGTCAGACATTGGCTGGTATGCCATGGGAGGGAGGCGGGCGAGTCGGGCGGTGAGAGGCGGCGGCGGCGAGGATCCGCGTCGAGCCGGGGGCGGCTCCGCGGTGGTGGTGCCGAGCGGCGGGGCAGCGCGTGCAAAAGGGAGGAGCGCGAGACAGCGGAGGAGGAGGAGGCCGGCATGTCCGGGCAGCAGCAGCAACAACAGCAGCAGCAACTCCCGGCGACGGCTCCTCAAGCCCCGCCGCCGCCCCCTCCTCCGCCCGCTATCGCCGCCACCACCACAACAGCCGCCGCCGCCTCAGTTGCCGCCAGTGGCGTAGCGTGGGGGGTGCCAGGGGTGCCGGCCGCACCGGGCGCAACATGGGCGGGGGGCGCGCTCGCACTAGCAGCTCTCTGCCCCTACTAAAATCCACGGGTTAGGGAGCCCGCGCTCGCTCGGCTTGGCGAGGAGGTCGCAGAAGGGGGAGAGCAAAGCCTTCTGCCGCGGGCAAAAAAAGGAGAGGAAGCCGGGCGGGCGGGCTGGCTGGCGGGGGTCTGGCTGCGCCTGCTGCTGCCGGGCTTTGACAGCTTGGCGAAGCGGAGGGAGAGGAGCTTTATGGTAATTGCGGCTCTCTCTCCACTGGCCGCCTGGCTAGTGAGCCGAGCCGAGCAGGGAGTCTGGCGAGGGGGCGGGACTTGCCGCCGTCCCTCAGTCCCTCGCTCTGCTGCCTCCTCCCACCCCCAAAGCTTGGAGGTTCCCCGGCAAGGGGGAGGGAAAAAACTTTCACTTTCCTGCGTCCCTCCCGGCGTGACGCTGCGCGCTGACGTCACGGGGCGGGGCTTTAATGGTGGTGTGCCGTGAGATTTTTTTTCAGTAAACAGGTGTGCCGTTGCCCAAAAAAGTTTGGGAAACACTGAGCTACACCTCTTATTTAAGTGTAAAGCAGAAAGCTATTGATCTGGATCTTTAAAAGGGAGGGAGATCTCCATCTCCACATGCATCTGCCCTCCACCAATAACTCTTTGTTTCTTCTGAGATGCAACCGAAATATCAGGCTACTTTAATATGCAAAGTACATTTTGCATTCTTTAACATCTTGAGAGAAGCTAAAGTTTCAGAGAACTTTTTTTTAAAGATAAAAATATCAATATTAAATGAAACCTGCATGCTTACTATAGGGTACCAAGAAAAGTAAAATGCAGCCAGTAACAATTGGGAGAGAGCAAAAGAGCTTGCATGTCATTTTTATGAATTCTTTAATTAATGTCTAGGTTTCCCGTGCTGTGATCCTCTGGCCCCCGTGGCAGTTTATTTCCTGAGGAAAAATCCAAAAAATATCTCAACAACATCAATCCTAAAAAAGTTCAACAACTTCAATCCTAAAAAAAGGTTAACAACTTGGGTCAGCCCCTTTCACTCCAGCAAATCTGGCCCTCTTTGAAAAAAGTTTGGACACCAGTGCTCTAGACACCACTCAAAGATTAGGCAGAGAAGAGAGAAAGACAGCTCTGGGAGGTCTCTCCCTGCCCCATGGAAACCTCTGTGACACTTGCCTCGCTGGCACTGGAGCTCTGGCATCAGTCGTCCCTGTAACCTCACTTCTCACACTGAGGGAACACCCAGAAGGCTCTCGGAGCTGGACCTCAGAGTCTGGGCTCAATGACATGCTCCTTTAGGTATGCAGGGCCAAAGCCGTTTGGGGTGTTAAAGGTCAGCACCAGCATTTTGAATTGTGCTTGGAAACCTACTGGGAGCCAGTGAAGATCCTTTGTTATATGGTCCCAGCGGTGCTCAGTCACCAATTCCGGCTTAGTTGTAGTTTCCGGGTCACCTTCAAAGGTAGCCCCACGTAGAGCGAATTGCAGTAGTCCAAGCGGGAGATAACCAGAGCATGAACCACTCTGGTGAGACAGTCCGCGGGCAGGTAGGGTCTCAGCCCGCGAACCAGATAGAACTGGTAGACAGCTGCCCTGGACACGGAATTGACCTGTGCCTCCAATGGACTGCTGTGAGTCCAAAATGACTCCCAGGCTGAGCACCTGTTCCTTCAGAGGCACAGTTGTTACCCCATTCAGGACCAGGGAGTCCTCCACACCGGCCCACCCACTGTTCCCTCAGGTTTCTGAGGTGTGCAACCAGGTGCCCCCATGACAGGCTTCCTCATCAAGGCTGGAGCTGTGGGGAACCAAGCCACGCCTGGGCCTTCGAGGCTGGCACCGTGCTTCTTTCTCCTTGGGGTCAGCAAAGGGACGTGTACCCCTGGGCCAGTTGAGAAGGAGGGAGGGAGGGAGAGCTCAAGCGACCACCATTTTACGCAGACTCCTGCCATATTCTCAGGACACGCTGAGGGAGCAGAGAAGGGGCAGCTCCGCAACTCCCCACCATCCTCCGCTCCAAAGCCCTTTTGCGCATCATTCATCATCCCTCCCCTGGCGCCACCAGCCAGTCACCCCCTGCACAGGTCAGCAGGCACCGGGGCTCCCCAGGCTGTGTGGGGGCAAAGAAGGGACCCTAAGAGAAGCTTCTCCTGAGTAGAAGGGAGCGGGCAGGGAGAAATAGGGGGAGAGTGGGAGGCTGCCTGGTGCCCAGCTAGTTCTTGCGGGGTGGGAGCTTGGATCAACAAAAGAGGCAGATGGCAGCGGGCAGCGAGGAGCTGGCGGCGTGTTTCTCCTGGCCATTAACCACTCTGCACGGCAGGTGCTCCTAGTCCCATGGAGTAGAGGGAAGCAAGGAGGGACCCCATAACTTGTGCAGCCCTGCTCGCTGCCCGCCCTCTCCTACTAGGGGCTCAAGCTGCCTCATTGTCCATGTGGCAGTGCCATTCATTGGCCACGAGATGCCGCCAGGGTGGGGTGGGACAAGTTGGGGAGGAAGAGAGGAAGGAGCAGGGCAGCTGCCAATGCCAATGTGGCTGCCCAGTTTGTGCCTCTCCCCCAGCTGCCTAGTCCACCAGGGGGTGCAACACATGCCCCACCCTGGCAGCCAGCAACCCACACTATACCCCTGATGCATAGGCGTAGTCAAGGGGTCAAGTAAAATAGATCAAGTAAAATAGAAATAACTAACTGACCAATCATGTTGGTTCTGCCCCCCAACAAAAGTCCTGCCCCCCATGCCCATGCCCTGATGCCAGGTGTAGGTTGGGCATGGATCCCAGGGGACAGAGCAAGGTGTAGCCCAGTGGCGTAGCGTGGGTTGTCAGCACCCGGGGCAAGGCAAGTAATTTGCGCCCCCTACCCGTGGATTTGCGCCCCCTAACCTGTGGATTTGCCCTAACCCCAGATGTTGCGCCCGGTGCGGCCGGCCCCCCCTGTACCCCCCACGCTACGCCACTGGTGTAGCCTCCTCAGTCCTCTGATACACCCTCCCCTTGGAGGGTGGTTATTTTCCCTCTAGGTGGGGCTGATGGCAGCTATAGTTCAACATCTGGAGGACACCAGGTTTTGAAGGCATATGTACCAATTGCTTCAAGGTCCTATTGATTTAAATGAAGAG